GTATGGATGGATGGACGTATGGATGGATGGACGTATGGATGGATGGATGGATGGATGGACGTATGGATGGATGGACGTATGGATGGATGGATGGATGGATGGAACTGTGCGTTATAAAAGTGATGGTGGTCTAAAAGTGTATGAAATTGCATTTGCATAAACCACAATGGAAAATTTGAAATTAGAGGTTTTTCAAAATGGGCAGCACGGTGGCACAACTGGTAGAGCTGCTGCTTCTCAGCAAGCAGGTTACCCTGGTTCATATCCCAGTCCGGGGACCTTTCTGGGTGGAGTTTGCATGTTCTCTCCCTGCTTGCATGGGTTTTCCCCGTGTCCACTGTGCTTGTTCAGGATGGGAGACTGCAATGAAGCCAAGATTCAACTTGTCTGCTGGATTCCTCAGGGAGAGAACTTTACTAACTGGCTTTTATGTGAATGTTTCTGTAAAGTGTCCTGAAACAACTTTGTTGTGATTTAGTGCTTTATAAATAAACTGAATTGAATTGAATTGTACTCTGATGTCCTCTCACAGACAAAAACATGCATGTTGGGCTGATTGGTAACTCTAAATTGTCCCTAGGTGTGAGTGAGAGAGTGAATGGTTGTTTGTCTCGCTTGTCTCTGTGTCCCTGTGATGGACTGGAGACCTGCCCAGGGTGTCCCCTGCCTCTCACAGAGTTAACTACTGGATATGGGCACCAGTGACCCTCACGGCCCAAAGAGGAAGAATTGAGTAAAAGATAATGGATGGATGGTTTTTCAACACTGAAAACAATCCATTTTAATTAGGTTCAGACTAGTCATAAGCTCGTCAGTCATGTCAAACATAAAGTGATTCTGCAACATGAGGCCAATTAAGAAGCAACCTACAACAGGATATATGATTGATGATTTTTTCCATGGAACCCCATTTAAAAAGTCTAGAATGTTCCTTTAAAGACACTGATGCAAACATCACACAGAGACACTTGTTTAAATGCTAAGTCATTTTAGTGCATTATTAGTTGGATAAACCCAATAAGATTCAATTAATCTAATCATTAAAGCCACATTTTAGCTTTAATAAGCACAGCTGTTCAATGTGTTGCTTTGAGAGAGAACAAGTTTATCCAAAATACTCAAAAGAAAAATAGAATAAGTTTAAATTTAAATTAGGGAAAGCTTGTACATTATAAAACAACATGTTAAAGAATAACGCTTTCCCACCCACCATGCTCTGTCAGACAGACACCGAAAATTTGTTTTCTAATGCAACTTGTGTGTTGGCATCAGGAATAACATTCCTTGTCATGGCGACGTTATCACATCAGTTAACAGAGAAAACTACTGTGGCACACTGCAGTGATGTAACCATTCGTCTGTGTGTGAAAGCCAAAGCAAATAAGGAGCTCAACATGAACCTTGACTTCTCATTTTACTTGTTTTTGTTGATCAAATTTCCTACTCGCTGCATAAATCGCCCCAGTTTGTTGTCAGCACCAGCTTGGGTGTGATACATTTGATAACCATTGTCCTTCCTGTTCAACGAGAAACTCTTTGGTTTGTCTAAAGTACTTGGCACCTTGTCTGACTTCTCCACACGCAGCACATCCTTTCTAAGTTTGCTCTCGTATCGATGGATAGGTCGTTCCTTCTTGGTTTGAGACACCGCAGCTCCTTCATAACTCAGAGTGTTAACGTTTTGGTCCTGCTCCGCTGAAAGAGTCGTCTTTCTTTTGCTCAAATGCTGAGGAGACAGTCTTGAAAATGGAGACTTATGATGATCTGTCTCTGAAGGTCCATTAGGAGAGTTCTGTGATCTGGAGGTTCCTGGTGCTTGCTTTACAGTAGAGTCCTGTAAAGTGTCTGTTTTGAGTGCTTTGTCTAGATCTGAGGTATTCTGGGATGTTGCTGAAACCCTTCTTTGGAGTGACTTCTGTTTTCTGGAAACTTCCTTTTCATCTGCCGCAAGCACTGAATGTACCGAGGCTACATTATTTACATGAGTATTTGATAATTCCTTTTCTTCGGGGATCTCAGTCAAAGACTCCATCATCCTGGAATGCTGAACACCACTGGAGTGTAAATGAGAGAACTTGAAATCAGGTCGTCTCACGTCTAAACCAGCGTCTGATTTGGTCCTACAGCGAGCTTGCTCCTGCTCAGTTTCTTGATCTGCAACAGTTTTGATATCGTAGTGAGAGTAAGAGCGTTGGCCACCAGTGAAAACTTGTCGCATCTCACCCTCTGCTTTCTTGTGCTCACTGCTTTGCAGGTTGTTCCTGTTTCGCATATTTGGATCCAACTCTTCCACTGTCTGCTTCATTTCAAGACCTTTCGTTGAAGACATGTGTTTTATTCTTTCTGAGCGCACAGACCTCAAGGACTCTCGGCTTTGCCTGAGATTGGCACAATCCTGTAGACTGTATCTCTTTTGCCTCATTTCTTCAATTTTAAACTTAATTTCCTTTGACCTTCTGCGAATCATTTGTGTCTGATATTCGTTTAGGCCTCTGTGTCTGCTTTGTGAATATTTCTCAGGAGATGATGCATCACCTGGTGCATCTGGAGACATGCCGTTCTCATTCATGTATGCATCAATCTTCCACTTGTGAAGGGATGTTTCCGAGTTGAATGGAATTAGATTCTGGTCTGCACCATAGCGAGTCTGGTGCCTAAGATGGTGCTGAGACAACCTGTTAGTTTGCTCCTGTCTGGTCTGCTTGCTGCCATCCCATTGCAAGGAGCCCACCCTCTCAGGAGAAGCAGAAACTCCAAGGCCCCTGGTTCCCATCTTCATTCGAGTCAACGATTTTAACTTCTGCAGGTCTTCATCATAGCTGTGGCCTCGCACTAAGAACTCTTTGTCATTGAAGTGAGATCGATGCAGCTTCTCCTGCATACTCACGCCCCGGCTCAACATAGCTCCCTCATGCTGAGCACCTCCATGCATCGCTCTGGATTTCAGGTGAAGGTGATTGAGAGAATGTCTGGTGTAAAGGTCCTTTTGCCTCAAAAACATTTGCTGGTATATCGATGTAAGGATAGTATTTTCCTGTTTCTCACCAATGCCAGTATTGGTAAAGACTGAAGGAATGACTGAGCGGGCGTAAAGACTTCTGAAGTCCACGTCATAAGAAGAGACCAGCGAACCTGTGACCACCAGGACCATACTCAGGTTGATCTTCTCAAATGACCACGTGTAGCTGGAAAAGGACAAAACACACAGTTATCAGGAAAGATCTAATATGGAAATAAATATGGATTAGACTTTAGATGATGATAATAATCAGTTATTGCAGATCCTTTTAATTCAAATATTTGTGTACTTTATCCAGCATTCAGTCTTAAATTATAATCGTATTATTTATCTGTATTATTTAATTGATTGTTTTTGTCACATTTTTGTTGTAATCTTTTCCTGCAGATTTTGACCAATCCAAACAGAAAATAAATCTAAATGTATGGCTTAATCAGGAATAGTGTGGTATAACTTCTAGTAGAATGATGTATGATGTACATTAAAATTAGAAGAAAAAAAGCTAAAGCACAGAGAGTCAGAGTCAGTTTCTTTATTTGTCATATGCACCTCATGTGGTACATGTGGTGGAACGAAATTGTGTACACAGGGTCCCAGTTACATCCAACAAAAGTATAAAATGGACAAGAAAAACAGTAATAAGATCTAAGATATGATCTAAGAAAAAAGTTAATTAAAAAAACTCTAAGCACTAGTAGTACAAAAACAATACGCCAAACAGCAGCATGAACATGAGTCTGTGTGAGCAGATGAGTACGAATTGACACAGCATCATGAAACAGATCAGCAGCATCATGAAACAGATCAGCAGCAACATGATGTGATTTTTCACAGTGGTTATTCTGGTTAGAGATTCATGAGTCTAACAGCCTCAGGGTAGAAGCTGTTCCTCAGTCTAGTGGTTCTACACTTAATGCTCCCCAACCTCCTTCCTGAGGGGAGCGGGGCAACAAGTGTGTGTGCTGGATGAGTGTGGTCCTTCATGATGCAGGTGGCCCTCTTCCTGCATCTGGAGGTGTGGATGTCTGTGATGGTGGGGAGACTGACTCCAACATCTTCTGTGCAGCCTTCACCACTCTCTGCAAAGCTTTTCTTTCTGCAGCTGTGCAGCTTCCATGCCACACGTTGATGCTGGAGCACATGATGCTCTCCACTGCACACCTGTAGAAGGAGGTGAGGACTGAGCTTCCCAGTCCAGCTCATCTCAGCCGCCTGAGGAAGTAGAGTCTCTGATGAGCTTTCTTGATCAGGCTGGTGGTGTTGTTGCTCCAGCTGAGGTTGTCATTCAGGTGCACCCCCAAGTACTTGTAGCTGAAGACCACTTCCACTGCAGATCCTCCTATGTTCAGGGTGTAGGTGTGTTTGTTCCTTCTGAAGTCCACGACCATCTCCTTTGTCTTCTTCACATTGATGTGAAGGTTATTCTCCTTGCACTAGCTCTCCAGGTGTTCCACCTCCTGCCTGTAGTTGGACTCATCATTGTTTGTGATGCATCTCACCACCGCTGTATCATCTGCAAACTTTACAATGTGACAGCCTGGATGGGTAGCTGCACAATCATACGTGAGCAGAGTAAACAGGAGGGGGCTCAACACACATCCCTGAGGAGAGCCGGTGCTGAGGGTTATGGTGGAGGAGGAAAAGTTGTGGATACTCATAGACTGCGGTCTGTTTGTTAAGAAGTCTAGGACCCAGTTGCAAATGGAGGGGCTTAGTCCTAGTGTGAGTAGTTTGTCCATCAGGGTTGAGGGGTCATGGTGTTGAAGACAGATGTGAAGTCCACAAAGAGCATACAGACATAGGAGCCCTTCTGCTCCAGGTGGGTGAGAGCAGTGTGGACCACAGAGGAGATGGCATCTTCAGTTGATCGATTCTCGCGATATGCATACTGGTGAGGGTCCTCGCTGATGTTGATGGTTGTTTTGATGTTGGTCATGACCAGTCTTTTGAAGCACTTAGTGACTATCGGGGTGAGGGCTACTGGCCGATAATCATTCAGAGACCAATCACTGTAGAGCTCTTTGGGACTGGGATGATGGTTGCAGTCTTCAGACAGTTGGGAACTGTTGCCAGGGTAAGTGAGGAGTTAAAGATGTCTGCCAGCACCTCACAGAGCTGATCGGCATAGTCTTTCAGCATCTTCCCGGGGATGTTGTCTCGGCCAGTTGCTTTGTGAGGATTGATCCTCCTGAAAGTACTCCTCACTTCAGCTGAGGTCACGCTGAAAAACTCTTTTTCCAGTGGTGAGGTGAGTCTGGTGCTGGGTGGTCTGTTCGGGTCTTTAAAGCGTGCGTAGAACCTGTTGAGGGCATCAGGCAGTGATGAGTCTCTAGGGCATTGTTCACCTCTGCCTTTATAATCTGTTATACACTTCATGCCCCTCCACATGCTCCATGGGTCTTGTGAGGTGAATTGACCTTGGATCCTCTGTGCATATGTGGCTTTGGCCCTTTTAATAACAGAAACCAACTCTTTCCTTGTCCTTCTCAGCTCCTGTGAGTTGCCAGACCTGAAGGCAGTGTCCCTGGCTTCTAGCAGGGTGCGAACCACTGCATTCAGCCAAGGCTTCCTGTTCGGGTAGCTGTTAACATATCTGATGGTAGTGACGTCATCAGCACATTTGCTAAGGTCCTCCAGGACTGAGGATGTGTATTCCTCCAGGTATAGCTCCTCCTCGTTTTTAGCAGCTTCTGTGAAAACCTGCCAGTCTGTGCATGCAAAACAGTCTTTCAGTATGGAATCACTATTCACATAAAATTTAACTTTCTTTTATATTGGTCTGGAATGTCTCAGTGAGGGGAGGTAAGTAGGGGCCAGGAAGATGGAGATATGGTCAGAGTCCTAGGTGGGGGCGGAGTACGTCTTTGTATGCAACTCATACGTTGGTGTAAACACGGTCCAGCGTGTTGTTCCCTCGTGTTGGTATGTTTACGTGCTGATAAAATCTTGGCAGGCAGTTCTTTAGATTTACATGATTAAAGTCACCAGTGACAACGTAAAGAGCCTCAGGGTGTTTGCTTTGCAAGAAGCTTAAATTAGCTCTCGCAGGGCGTCCGAAGCCTTGGAACAAGAGCAGTTTATCAGAGAACTGTTTGTGCACCAACTTTTACTCACGTAAATGCTTACTCTGCCTCCTTGCGACTTTCCCATTAGCTCGCTGCAGTGGTCTGCTCAAAAAAAAGGTCTGTCGTCCAGCTAGAAGGCTGAGTCTGGCATGTTGCTGTTAAGCCATGATTCCGTGACACAAAGCACCACACATTTCCTCATCTCCTCTGAGGCATCCACTCTCAGACAAAGCAAATCCATCTTGTTGTCCAAAGAGCAGATGTTCGACAGAAAGAGGGAGGATATTGGTAGTTTGTCAGCCTTAGCGTTAGCTTTTAGCCTTACTAGCACCCCCATCTGCCAACCTCGCTTCTTAAGCCAGGAACAGCGCCTCCCCTTCCTGTTTGAGCACCTCTGCTAAAGCTTCCAGGTAGGTGACTTTAGGATCAACTTACTCACTATACATTTTAAACATCAAAATATGAGCATTTTTGTTTTATTTCACCCAGTGTCTCTCACTGGACTTAAAGTTGGTTCTAAAAATGATCTCAGTAATCTAAACTCAAAATTTTCTCTTCATAACCAGAAGTAAAAGTTTTTTTTTAACTTGACTTATCTCCTCCACAAGTCACTGAAAAAATACAAACTGAGTGTGATGACCAAATGTTTCTGTCACTTATCACATTTTATAGTTTTTGCACAGTGATTGTTTCTGGCTTTATTTTTTTAAGTCTGTACGTCTCATAAAAATGTTAAGGAGTGAGAGACGCAGATGTGGGGTTGCCGTGGTGATCCTTATGTGCTACTGACAACAGCTTGAACATTTATTTTACACTTTCCGACAGTTTGAATATCAAAATGTCAGCATTTTGTCAGCTTAGATTATTACGAACAAAAGTCTAAACTGTTCTTGGCCTTTAGAGATGAAAGTTGATGTTTTTTAGAATTTCAGCCATTAGTTGGGACTCTTCAAAACCTTTTTAGACATTTTTTTAATGTTTAGACTTTTTTTTTTAACACAGTCTTTGATTAAGAACAATCAGTGCTGGAATCTGAGTTGGTAACGATGGGAGTCACTCACCTGTACGTTCCAAACATGACTGTCTGGCAGTCAACCAGTAAAAACTTCTGTTCCAAACTGCCATAAAACTTCATCCCTGATTGACACTGATACTGAGGCCCCCGAACTGTCCGGACACAAATGTTCTGGAGAAAAAACCCAAAAAGGCACTCAATTATGATCAAACTGGTGTGTTTGTCAAACTCAAATTCTCCTGCTTCCTCCATCCACCCTACTTTTTCTCTACATGGAAACAGACAACAATTCACTCTCTCACTCACACCCAGAGACAAGTTAAAGTTACCACCAACCCTAACATGAATATTTTAGGTTGTTGATATGATGGAACACAGAACCCAACTTCTTCCTAAGATGGCAGAACATTCCCATGGTGTGTATACTTGTGTATAATTGTTTGAACAGATGAAGTTGGAACCTTCAGGCTTCTGAAAATTGGACCCAGTGATAAACTAGAGTTGTGAAAGTCGACATTCTCTTCCTCAAATCTTGATGTATTTGTTTTGATTTTTTCATGATGCCACACAAACAGCAGTGTGTTTAAGGTCAGATATACTTCAAATTAACTCAGATGTTGTCCTCTAACCAATCAAATGCTTTCAAAGCCATGACATCACCATCTTGGCTTTCCCAAGTTGTTTAAAGGCGTGGGAATCTTAGTATATGTTAACTTTTGACTTAAAAAAAATCTCCTGTTTAAAAAAACTGTTCCTGTGCAATCTGGCTTTTTGAGTAAAATATTTATTTACAATTTTATCCCTTAGTTTTATTTTACTTTCAGTTTGACTTTTGTTGAATTATAACGAAAACATCCATGCATTATCTTCTGCTTATTCCGAAGTCAGTTTGCAGGGGCAGCAGCTTGAGCAGGGAGGCCCAGACATCTCTTTCCAGAGCCACTTCTTCCTGCTCTTCTGGGAGGATTCTAAGGTGTTCCCAGGCCAGCTGGTCCACCCTAAGGACAGAACACCCATACACAAACAGAATGGTGTAGTGTATGTGGTCCAGTGCAGCGAGGACTGTCCAGACCTCTACATTGGAGAAACTAAACAGCCTCTTCACAGACGCATGACTCAACACAGGAGAGCCACCTCCTCTGGACAAGATTCAGCTGTTCACCTCCACCTCACAGATAAGGGACACTCTTTCGAGGACCAAAATGTGCACATTTTGGACCGAGAACACAGATGGTTTGAGAGGGGGGTGAAAGAAGCAATTTATGTAAAAAGGGAAAAGCCGTCTCTTAACAGAGGAGGAGGCCTCAGATTTCCACTTTCAAAAACCTATAATGCAACTTTAAAACAGATCCCCAGCTGGTTTTCACACTTGATGGGAACAGAGGGGCCTCGACTGTGAATTAGAGGAACAAAGACCTTAAGAAACCCCTACTGTTAAGATGTTGAGGTGTGACTTGTCAAATCTACATATATGTGTATGTGTCTTATCTCACTCAGCCTTATAACCTGAATCTCTCGCTCATTGAATTGAGAAAGCTCTTCGGATGAGGAGTGAAACGTCTTCTGTTACAAATAAAGTCCAGTTGTTTTTGTATTGAATGTTTTTTGAATTTATCATGTCCTGGATGGGCAGCACGGTGGAACAACTGGTAGAGCTGCTGCCTCTCAGCGAGCAGGTCCCTGGTTCAAACCCCGGTCCAGGAGCCTTTCTGGGTGGAGTTTGCATGTTCTCTCCATGCATGCGTGGGTTTTCTTCGGGTACTCCAGTTTCCTCCCACAGACCAAAAAAAACATGCATGTTAGACTGATTGGTAACTCTAAATTGTCCCTAGGTGTGAGTGAGAGAGTGAATGGTTGTTTGTCTCGTTTGTCTCTATATGGCCCTGTGATGGACTGGAGACCCGTCCAGGGTGTCCCCGCCCCTCGCACAGTGATTGCTGGACATGGGCACCAGCGACCCCCGTGACCCAAAATGGAATAAGCGGGTAAAGAAAATGGATGGATGGATGGATGGATGTCCTGGATGACTGAGAATCTTCACCAGCATGTCCCTAGGTATGAGTGAGAGAGTGAATGGTTGTTTGTCTCGTTTGCCTCTATATGTGTCCCTGTGATGGACTTGCGACCCGTCCAGGGTGTACCTCGCCCCTTGCAGAGTGATTGCTGGACATGGGCACTGGTGACCCCCGTGACCCAAAATGGAAGAAGTGGGTAAAAAGTAATGGATAGATGGATGGATCATTGCACCAAAATACAACGAGAACATGTACGTACAGTCATCTGAAAGATGGACGTAGTGCACAAAGCTGCTGCTAATTAGCGAGGCCCTCTTATTCTTATCCAGAATAATATTTTTAGATAGAAAAAGGGACAAAGCCACGAGGAAAGGGTAGTGGCATTACAAAAAAGATCTCTTCACACCTTATCCTTATAGGGCAAGATTTAAGACATCAAAAAACTTTGCCAGCTAAAGCACATTTATGAACACGTACATATGCATTTACAAACGAGGCGGCCCATGAAGCCCTAGAAAGTCCATTGTCCTGATAAGATGATGGTCAGCTGGCACAATTTGAATAATATTCCATGGGGGGGGGGGGGGGTGATAGACAAAGCTTTTCCTTAGTTTACACTTTTCCCAGGAGAAATTGATAATTTGGCCTGTTCAAGGCCAACTGGGGAGAGATTCAGATAACCACAATTGTTGATTTATTCTAGACTATTTTTCCTGTCAGCCTCGAGTCTGTACTGATATTTTCCGAGGTCCAAATGGTCAGATTAGGGTGCATTCCTCTGCTTCGTGCTTACAAGTCTCTTCAAGACGGTATTTTCATGCTGACGAGTCCCAAATCTGCAGGTGGCATGCAATTCAAATCACTTCCAACTTACAGGTTTGCTCATAAATCAGCTGATTTTGAGTCCTCCAGCACGAGCCAGACCTTCACATAGACAGCAGCTTGTCCAGGTCCAAATTAGCTGCTGCCATCTTTTTTGTTTGTTGATAAACCAGGATCCAGACTATTCCAGACACAGGAAACCTGTTATCACAAATCCTATTATTGGCAATTTCAGCATCCTTGGTTGATAGCAGAGGTAGACACATCCCCCCAGAAATATATCCAGCTGCATTCAGGTCATTGTTCAGTGGTGTGATGAATTTAGTTTGCAGATGAATATTCCAGAAACTAAGGACATGCTTATTGATTTTAGAAAATACCCTCAGGCACAGGAAATGACTATTTTAAAGTGTCAGACAGTGTGTTGATACATACAGTATCTGGGTACAGTTATTGACAGTAAACTGGCCTTTGAGGCAAACTGTGAAGCTGTTCATAAAAAAGGAACCAGCACCTTTTCCTTCAGAAACCTGTCCTTTTTTTTACATCAACAAAACTCTGCTGACTGTTTTATCATGCGTTTATTGAATCTGTTTTGTCTTCTGCTTAGTGGTTCGGCAATCTTTCTCTCAAAAACAAGAACTACTTGAAACAAATAGTGGTCACCTGAGTGAAGTTGTCCCCCCCCCCACCAACACACACACACACACACACACACACACACACACACACACACACACACACACACACACACACACACACACACACACACACACACACACACACACACACACACACCTTCTAACAAAATTGGTGTCAAATGTTTGTGCAGCAAAAATTTTCGTTTGTGCCACTATCAGTTTAAAAATATTAATAGAAATGTTTCCAGAGGCCAACAAAGGTCAACAACAATCTGTTCATGTTGAAACTGTTAATTACATTTAACAGTGCTTAGGTGCTGAACTATGAACCAACCATCATCCATCCATTTTCTTTACCCGCTTCTTCCATTTTGGGTCACGGGGGTCGCTGGTGCCCATGTCCAGCAATCACTGTGTGAGGGGCGGGGGACACCCTGGACGGGTCTCCAGTCCATCACAGGGACAAACTATGAACATGAATAGATTAATTTTAACTTGGATGAAATTCATTTTGAACTAGGTCTTATTTAACCGGTGACCCCCGTGACCCAAAATGGAAGAAGTGAGTAAAAGATAATGGATGAACTGGTACATCACCTCCAAAATACAAACCCAAAGACCTGCGTTTTTGTTTCTGATCACCAGGGGGTGCTATCAAACACACTGTACCTTTGTATTTTTTGTACTTTTTGACCTCTGGAAACATTTATTAATATCTTTAAAATAATAGCTGCACAAATGAAAAAGTTTGCTGCATAAACCAGCACAAACGTTTGACACCAATTTTGATAATTTGAAGAAGGAGAGGGGGCAGCTTCACTCAAGTGAAGTGGTCCAGTATTGTGACAGGAGAGATGCAACTAAACCCAGAATCCCTGTACTCCAGGCAGGTAGAGAAGATATCTGGATCCATTTTAACAGACGGGTCTCATGCTCAGTTCAGACCCCTCCCATCAGAATGCACATACTTGGTGCCAAAATGAAAAACTTAGCATTTTAAAACCAGCTTTGTTCCTGTTACCATTCGTTTCTTAAATCGAGTAATTTATCCTTTTCTCTCGTGTCTCTTTTTATTTTTGTTCTAATGTGCTTTTTCTCATCTTTTGTCTTATAAGGTTTTACCTGATTTTATCTTGTCTCATCTTTTTATCTCTTATTCTCATTTCATCCTGCTATTCTGGTACTGAAATTGCTCTTTAGATAGAGGAGTTTTAGTTATCTTAGAGTACTGAGAACCTAGTCACTTTGCATCTACTGCATGTCTCAGTCATAAGTCTTTATTTTAAAGAAAGACGACTCACTTCTCTGTAACCAAATCTACCTATGGGTATAAATGAACTGATTGGTTGAATCTTCCTGAAACATCTGCAGTAAAGTCTGTCTTCATATCTAATATTACTTCCTTTGAAAGTTCACATAACGTGTGCTTGTTTTTATACTACTACACATATAAAATGTGTACAGTGTGTCCATATTTTTCTGTTTTGTTTTTTCCATTACTACCAGTCCCACAAACAGGAGAGTGTAAACAAAAGGTGAGATATCCGGCATGAATGAACACGTTTGACTTTGTATGAGATGGATGTTTTGAGGTGGCTGCTGTCTGCCACCTTTCCCAGGGATCACAAAGCAGTCAGTATGTTCATCGTGATGACTCGTTGTTTGCACCACGAAAACATCCCGTCCATGTTGTTCAACAGGAAAATCCAGACACTGAGACTGTCCCACGCCTGCTGCAGTTGTCTCGCTATGCTAACAACAGGTAGAAATGCAGCAGGGAACAGGTGGTAAAGAAAAACTCTTAAATATTTCTATGAGGGTGTGGAGGAAAGTTTAGCCTTAATCCACTAAATGGTGCTGCTAACAGAAGAAGGGTCATGCTGCAGGCAAAACGTCTTGTGAGACCAGAAAATGCTGAACTGTTTTCTTTTAGCTTTTTGTGTTCAGGCTAGCATCTCCTACAAGTTGGATATAGTCTGCCCTTGTGCTTGATGTTAGAGCTTTGACAGTGAAATAAAAAATCCTTGTTTTTTTGTGCTTTTTTGGTAACAAGACAGAATTCCATCAACATAACGTCCTGGCAAAACACTTCAAGATCTCAAAAGATAAAAAAGATCAAACGTTCCACTTGCTGCATGAACTATCAAAACAATAACTCTAAAGTTTCCTACCATTTCCAAATGTACAACCCTGTCACAAGTGTCTGCCGTGCACACAAACAAGGAAAGGTCTCTGTGACAGAAACGACTGCAAAGGAAACTAGACAGTGACGGCTGTTTCAGATGCAAATCCAGCTCAACTATAAAATGTTTTACTTGGTAATTGATGCATACAAGAAGGGAATCCTTGTCTTTAGATATTTGGGAGTTTGGTACCAGGGCTGTAGTGCTGATTTTATGAAGAACTTATATTCCTACAATAACGGAAAAAGCTTGTAGATTGGCGGACCTTAGGTTGTGGGTTCCAGCCCAGGTTGCACCAGGAAGGGCATCTGGTGTAAGACAAATAGCCAAATATTTCATGCGAGTTTGTGGTGACCCCTGAGAAAGGGAGCAGCCAAAATAAACTTACTTTTTGCTCAATAAACATATTTGGTGTAAACACATTATCAAAATAGGTTTATCCTCAAACCCTCCAAAACCATGGTGCCAGACTTTAAGACTTTCTACCCCTTCAGTCTGCCTCACCTTTGTGTCTTGCACGTTAACACTCAGACCGTGAGCCATGTGGAGGAAGCTCTTGATCTGGGCCTCATCCAGCAGGATGTAGACAGCCACTCCCCTCTGCGCCGCACCGATGATCTCCATAAAAATGTCCACATCAGTGAAGACATCCATTGCTATGGCAATAACCTATAGACAGATATTACACATGCAAACATGAATCTACAGAGCAATATTAATTTATTTCCAAATACGAGGGAGAAGTTAAGAGTATCAAATATGAAATGATTCTGGAATACAGATGTTTATCCCCCACCCCCCAAAATAAAATAATTGTAAATGCATGAAAACCTTTCCTGTCCAGACACATTCCATGTTCAAACAAGTCAAATTACTTTTAGTGGGTGGGTGTGGGGGGCATTGCTCTCGTTTCTTGTGAACTTAAGACAGGAAACATAGTTCACCCATGTTACATTTGTTTGTCCTCCGATTAGGAGTTTAAGTATATATTTAATTTCCTGCATGCTCAGTAATCCAGGTAGAGAAATCCAACAAGGAGTCAGGTCCTCTGGAAGTATCCGAGGACTTGATTTAACCTTATTAGATATTTAATTTGTTTGTATGTAATAATGACGTGGCAAGATGGCGCCTGCGCTTGGCTTGGCCTCTGCAGGTTGTTTGCTTCACATGTTATTTGATCGTTATGTTTCTGTCTGGGGGCTTCCTTGTGGACATGTGACCACCACTCGCTACTGGTGATCAAGTCTGTGATGGTCAACCTTCAGTGTCATAAAAACGGAGTTATATTTCCACCACCGCTGGAACATCTCTCCTCTTTAACCTGTGGATCCGCCCCTGCTCTGGACACGCAGGTGAAGGAAGAGGGGGAACAGAGCCGGCTTCTTCGTGCTGCTCCGTCGGCTTCTGAGAAACGAGGCAGCATCCGGTGCGGCCAGGTGATTCAACCTCAGACATGTTGGTGCTGGACTAGTTCAAACGCTCCCAGAAGTTTCCCACACAGGTTGTCACCTGAAGCTGTGGCATCCAAAGTTCACCGCGGGAGGAATCCTGACTCACTGCGCAGCTTGCCACGTCATCCCGACGCCGCTGTGGACCCCTCTACACCGTCAGCAGCTTTCTCCACTAAAGTGTTATTTGATACCATCAGCAGTTTTGTATCTCCCCCAGCGCCCGATGCTTCATTAACCTCAAACAACGACTGTAACTTGTTCCTCAGTTTTTTCATAAAGAAGGTGATGGACCTGAAATCCAATATATCTCCAAGCTCCTCTACTTTTCAAGATGAGCCTCAGTGTTCTGAGTCATTTTCTTCTTTTGTTCCGATGACTTTAAACGACCTGACCTCATTAATTGACCAAATAAAACTTTCTACTTGTTCACTGGAAATATAACTCCCTCTTTGCTTGTCCAGACTCTAGCCTGTACTGGTCCAACAGTGTTGATGATAATGAACAACTCCCTGAACTAAGGGTTCGTCCCATTGTATTTTAAAACAGCAGAAGTGACCCCTCTCTTAAAGAAGCCTAACCTTGACTCTGGCTCCCTTTCCAACTTCCGCCCCGTCTCTAAACTGCCTTTTCTCAGTAAATTACTTGAAAAAGTTGTAGAAACCCAACTCAGATCCTGGTTCTGTCAGTTACAGATCTCTGACCCCTCTCAGTCTGGTTTTCTTAAACACCATTCCACTGAACCTGCTCTGGTAAAAGTCCACAACGATCTGTTAATGGCTGCTGATGAAGGAAAATGCTCTGTGCTGGTCCTGTTAGATCTTAGTGCTGCCGTTGATACTGTCGACCACACAACCTTATTAAACAGACTGAAGGTTGTGGCTGGTATTTCTGGCTCAGCTTTGGACTGGCTCACATCATACCTGTCTCACAGAACTTTCTGCATCCAGACGGCCAGGTTCTCCTCTGATTATGCCCCCTTAACTTGTGGGGTGCCACAAGGCTCAGTTCTGGGTCCACTTTTGTTTACCTTTTATATTATCCCACTTGCCAGCATTATTCAATCCTTTTCTGATATTTCCCATCACATTTATGCTGATGACATTCAGTTGTATTTTTCATTTAGACCACACCAGCTGGATAAACTGGCCATCCTTGTCCAATGTTTGTCCCGTATCAGTGACTGGCTTGCCAGTAACTTCCTGGTTTTAAACACCAGTAAGACAGAGACTGTGATTACAGCTCCCAGTCACCTTCACCCAAAATCAAACAGAAAATTGCCTCTTTCTGCCCAGTAGCCAAATCAAAAGTAAAAAACCTAGGAGTCACAGCTGGCTCATCATTAGGCTTTGAGTCTCACATTAGAGATATTTCCTGTTCTTGTTTCTTTCATTTAAGAAACATTTCTAAAATACGACCTTTGGTCTCCAGAGTTGACCTTGAGAAAATTATTCACACTTTTGTGTCATCGCGTCTGGACGACTGTGATGTCCTTTTTACCTGCCTGGACAAGTCTTCTGTCTCACGTCTACAAGTGAAACAGAACGCAGCTGAAAACTAAAGGGGACGGGGCCTTTCAGCCAGTGGCCCCCAGGCTGTGGAGACGGGGCCTTTCAGTCAGTGGCCCCCAGGCTGTGGGGACGGGGCCTTTCAGTCAGTGGCCCCCAGGCTGTGGGGACGGGGCCTTTCAGTCAGTGGCCCCCAGGCTGTGGAGACGGGGCCTTTCAGTCAGTGGCCCCCAGTCTGTGGAGACGGGGTCTTTCAGTCAGTGGCCCCCCAGTCTGTGGAGACGGGGTCTTTCAGTCAGTGGCCCCCAGTCTGTGGGGACGGGGCCTTTCAGTCAGTGGCCCCCAGTCTGTGGAGACGGGGCCTTTCAGCCAGTGGCCCCCAGTCTGTGGAGACGGGGCCTTTCAGCCAGTGGCCCCCAGGCTGTGGGGACGGGGTCTTTCAGCCAGTGGCCCCCAGGCTGTGGGGACGGGGCCTTTCAGTCAGTGGCCCCCAGTCTGTGGGGACGGGGCCTTTCAGCCAGTGGCCCCCAGTCTGTGGGGACGGGGCCTTTCAGCCAGTGGCCCCCAGACTGTGGACCAGTTTGACCTGCAGCTTCGTTCTGCTGACTCTGTGGAGGTTTTTAAAAAGCAACTGAAAACACTTTTAGTCTCTCAGGCTTTGTCATGATTTTATTCTGCTTCTTGTAGTTCTTAGGCTTGTTTTATTCTTTGTATAATTTAGTGTTGATTTTTATTGTACAGCACTTTGTGATTTCATGTCTGTGATAAGCGCTTTATAAATAAACTTTACTTATCCTGATGCATGCTCAATAATCCAGGTAGAAAAATCTAAAAAAGTTAAATCTGGTCCTCTGGACATTCAAAAAAAACAAAACAAAGCAAAACAACAAAAAAATATAGAAACGTTTCGTCTCTCATCCTGAGGACTTCCTCAGTCTGAGGTGCTGTATTCAGCTCAGTCTCTTAAATAGCACCTTCTCAGAGTGGATCAACCAG